GACCTATGCACGGGCCCTCTTTGTGGACTTCAGCTCAGCGTTCAACACCATAATCCCAGACATCCTCCACTCCAAACTGACCCAGCTCACTGTGCCTGCCCCCACCTGTCAATGGATTACGAGCTTTCTGACGGACAGGGAGCAGCAGGTGAGGCTGGGCAAAACCACATCCAGCACCCGGACAATAAGCACAGGCGCCCCCCAGGGATGTATGCTCTCCCCTCTACTGTTCTCACTCTACACCAACAACGGCATCGCGAAGGATCCCTCTGTCAAGCTCCTAAAGTTTGCTGATGATACAACGGTCATTGGTCTCATCCGGGACGATGACAAGTCAACCGACAGATGGGAGGTTGAGCAGCTGGTCCTGTGGTGTAGCCACAACAACCTGAAGCTGAACACGCTCAAAACAGTGGAGATGACAGTGGACTTCAGGAAGAGCCCCCCTCGTCATACTTGGCAGCACTGTATCAGTAGTAAAGTCCTACAAGTTCTTGGGCTCCACTATCTCCCAGGACCTGAAGTGGACGTCCCACATCAGGACCATCACCAGAGGATGTACTTCCTGCACCAGCTCAAGAAGTTCGGCCTGCGCCAGGAGCTGCTGATACAGTTCTACAGAGGAATCATTGAGTTTGTTCTCTGCACCTCCATTGCTGTCTGGTTTGGCTCAGCAACCAAAGAGGACAAGTACAGACTTCAGCGGACAGTCAGGACTGCAGAAAAGATCATTGGTGTGAGCCTGCCCCCCATGGAGGACCTGTACACCACATGGGTCAAAAGGAGGGCAGAGAGGATCACTGCTGACCCCTCACACCCAGGACACAATCTGTTTGAACTCCTCCCCTCTGGACGGCACTACAGGTCACTGTGCACCAAGACAACCAGGCACAGGGACAGTTAACCAATGACCATATGATTGGACAATAACCCTCAGTGCAATACCTGTATATATATATAAATTGTACAGACTCGTACAGGTCTCTAGTACTGTGTTTTAAGTACTCTATTTTTATCCCTAATTATCTCATTTCAAAGAACATTCCTTTGTTGTCTGCATTGTTAGTGTCTATTCATACTGCTTATTCTGCATTGTTTGCACTTTCTGTTGCTTGTAAATACTGCTTAATTTTGTTATATTACACAGCCTTATGCTGGTTTACTGTTCGCACATTGAGAGCCAATGTACCAGAGTCAAATTCCTCGTGTGTCCAACACACCTGGCCAATAAAGCAGGTTCTGATTCTGATTCTGATTCTAATATGATGTGAGGCTCAGTTAGGTTTGCACAGAAACAGCTTGTAAAAGGAAGGACTTTGAAGGACCACTTTTACTTTTATACTTTGAGTACATTTCAGAGACTGTAAAGGGTTTGAATCAATACTTCTACCTGTATTAGCGTCGTATTTTTACTTCTACTTGAGTAACAAATGCGTGTACTTTCACCATATGTGTTTATAATTCTAAAAAAAAAACCTAGCAAAGTTTTTCAGCAAGCCTTAGGTAGAGTGGACACCTGGGTAATGTGGAGGTGGCTGGCAGGCCAGGAATGTTCCTGTGCCCTCATATGCCGTCTGAGGTCTCCTGCTGTCTGGAGAAAAGTCATGGAGGTCTGAGGAAAAATGCAAAAGAAAAAAAGAGAAGGAAATGCAAAAAATGATTACAATCACATACAGTAAACATCACAAAAGAAGAATCAAATAATACATACTTGTCGGTAACCAAAGGATATTTGATGATAGAGTAAAAAAAATCCTGTGAACCAATGTTTGTCCAATGCCTTTTATCTTTGCCACAGTAACCCAGCCAAAGAGACTGAAAGACCTTTGTTCACTCACAGCCAAATTTGAGGTTAGCTGCTCTACTAATGATGGTTCCACAGCGGTTTATGGCCAAACACTGGTATGAGCCTGTGTCTCGAACAGACTCGGGGCTGCTGATAACCAGGTTGCCAGCCACCAGGGTGTAACGGAGGTCCAAACCAAGTGGGACGTCAGTGCCATTCACAAGCCACCTGCAAGAAAAATAGTGGAGCAAAATAACTGAGAAAACATGAGACCATTGCAAACAGAAGATAGTTAACATAACCTGCTACACAAGGTTCCAGAGTATTAAAGGCTCAGCTTATCCCTTTAAGAAAGTGTCACCTTATAGGTAACCTATGCATATCATGTTTGCTATAAGGGTATGTCCTAATGTATATGGGAAATGTCAGCACCTGGTGCAGTCATTGCTGAGATAAAGTGAATCCTGTTACAGTATGAGCAGATGGCCTACTGAAGTCAGCCATAAAGTATCTAAAAATGCTCAGACTTCCTAGCAGTAATGTCCACTGCTGGATAGAAGAACTGAAGTTCCTGTTCATAATCACATAAAAAAATAACAGCTGGAAAACAAGCAAAAATAAATAACGTGTACACTTGATCTACAAAGTTTGAAAAATATATTTCTCATGCACATCATAAACCCTGGAGGAGTCCATAACTGTGTGCTATGTACAGTGCCTTGCGAAAGTATTCGGCCCCCTTGAACTTTGCGACCTTTTGCCACATTTCAGGCTTCAAACATAAAGATATAAAACTGTAATTTTTTGGGAAGAATCAACAACAAGTGGGACACAATCATGAAGTGGAACGAAATTTATTGGATATTTCAAACGTTTTTAACAAATAAAAAACTGAAAAATTGGGCATGCAAAATTATTCAGCCCCCTTAAGTTAATACTTTGTAGCGCCACCTTTTGCTGCGATTACAGCTGTAAGTCACTTGGGGTATGTCTCTATCAGTTTTGCACATCAAGAGACTGAAATTTTTGCCCATTCCGCCTTGCAAAACAGCTCGAGCTCAGTGAGGTTGGATAGAGAGCGTTTGTGAACAGCAGTTTTCAGTTCTTTCCACAGATTCTCGATTGGATTCAGGTCTGGACTTTGACTTGGCCATTCTAACACCTGGATATGTTTATTTGTGAACCATTCCATTGTAGATTTTGCTTTATGTTTTGGATCATTGTCTTGTTGGAAGACAAATCTCCGTCCCAGTCTCAGGTCTTTTGCAGACTCCATCAGGTTTCCTTCCAGAATGGTCCTGTATTTGGCTCCATCCATCTTCCCATCAATTTGAACCATCTTCCCTGTCCCTGCTGAAGAAAAGCAGGCCCAAACCATGATGCTGCCACCACCATGTTTGACAGTGGGGATGGTGTGTTCAGGGTGATGAGCTGTGTTGCTTTTACGCCAAACATAACGTTTTGCATTGTTGCCAAAAAGTTCAATTTTGGTTTCATCTGACCAGAGCACCTTCTTCCACATGTTTGGTGTGTCTCCCAGGTGGCTTGTGGCAAACTTTAAACGACACTTTTTATGGATATCTTTAAGAAATGGCTTTCTTCTTGCCACTCTTCCATAAAGGCCAGATTTGTGCAGTATACGACTGACTGTTGTCCTATGGACAGAGTCTCCCACCTCAGCTGTAGATCTCTGCAGTTCATCCAGAGTGATCATGGGCCTCTTGGCTGCATCTCTGATCAGTCTTCTCCTTGTATGAGCTGAAAGTTTAGAGGGACAGCCAGGTCTTGGTAGATTTGCAGTGGTCTGATACTCCTTCCATTTCAATATTATCACTTGCACAGTGCTCCTTGGGATGTTTAAAGCTTGGGAAATCTTTTTGTATCCAAATCCGGCTTTAAACTTCTCCACAACAGTATCTCGGACCTGCCTGGTGTGTTCCTTGTTCTTCATGATGCTCTCTGCGCTTTAAACGGACCTCTGAGACTATCACAGTGCAGGTGCATTTATACGGAGACTTGATTACACACAGGTGGATTCTATTTATCATCATTAGTCATTTAGGTCAACATTGGATCATTCAGAGATCCTCACTGAACTTCTGGAGAGAGTTTGCTGCACTGAAAGTAAAGGGGCTGAATAATTTTGCACGCCCAATTTTTCAGTTTTTTATTTGTTAAAAAAGTTTGAAATATCCAATAAATTTCGTTCCACTTCATGATTGTGTCCCACTTGTTGTTGATTCTTCACAAAAAATTACAGTTTTATATCTTTATGTTTGAAGCCTGAAATGTGGCAAAAGGTCGCAAAGTTCAAGGGGGCCGAATACTTTTGCAAGGCACTGTATTCATTATCTAATACAGATGCAGGCAATCAAACTGTAGCTCTCTGACACAATCACTGGCCTTTTTTATAATCTTCTTCTTCTTTCGGCTGTTCCCGTTAGGGGTCGCCACAGCGAATCATCTGTTTCCACCTAATTCTATCCTCGGTATCCTCTACTCTCACACCACTTCATGTCCTCTTTTAGCACATCCATATATTTCCTCTTTGGCCTTCCTCTTGACCTCTTGCCTGGTAGCTCCATCTCCAACATCCTTCTACCAATATAACCACTATCCCTCCTCTGCATATGTCCAAACCATCTCAATCTGGCCTCTCTGACCTTGTCCCCAAAACAGCCGACCTGAGCTGTCCCTCTGATGTGCTCATTCCTAATCCAAGAGAACCTCAACATCCTCATCTCTGCTACCGCCATCTCTGCCTCTTGTCTTTTCCTCACTGCTACAGTCTCTAACCCATACAGTATAGCTGGTCTCACTACTGTCTTGTACACCTTTCCTTTGATTCTTGCTGACACTCTTCTGTCACACAACACTCCTGACACCTTTCTTTTTACATGGTCCCTGGTGGTCTAGTGGTTAGGATTTGGCGCTCTTGTTGCTGCGGCCCGGATTCGATTCCCAGTCAGGGAATCGTGGTTTTGGGGAGGCGACAGTGGTGTGTAGCGCAGTCGTCTCCCAACCAGAAGGTTGAAGGTTCGAATCTCGGTGCCAGTAGTCCACGTGTCAAAGTGTCCTTGGGCAAGACACTGAAACCCCCTGTTGCCCCAGATAGTTAGAGCCATTGGTTGAGGTGGTGCCACAGATGGCTGCCATCGGTTCTGTACCGGAAACAAATTCCTTGTGTGTAACATACTTGGCCAATAAAGGTGATTATCCTTATCCTCCACCCACTCCAACCTGCCTGCACTCGCCTCTTCACCTCTTTCCCACACTCCCTGTCACACTGGAATGTTGACCCCAAATATTTAAAACTCCTGCACCATCTTGACCTCCCTCCCTCTCGTTCACACATATGTATTCTGTTTAACTATGAGAGACTTTCATTCCTCTTCTTTCCAGAGCAGACCTCCACCTTTCCAGGTGTTCCTCCACCGGCTCTCTGCTCTCACTACAGAGCACAATGTCATCCGCAAGCATCATTGTCCATGGAGATTCCTGTCTGACATGATCTGTCAACCTTTCCATCTCAATAGCAAATAAGAAGGGACTCAAAGCTGATCTTTGATGTAGCCCCACCTCCAACTTGAACTCCTCTGTCTGACCTACAGCACATCTCACTACTGTTGTACTCCTCTCATACATATCCTGGACTACTCTGACATACTTCTCTCTCACTCCTGACATCCTCATACAGTACCATAGCTCCTCTCTCAGCACCCTGTTATACACTTTCTCTAAATCCACAAAGACACAATGCAGCTCTGTACTTCTCCATTAACATTCTCAGAGCAAAAATGGCATCAGTAGTGCTCTTTCTGGGCATGAAGCCATACTGCTGCTCACAGATATCCACTTCCTTTCTTAGCCTAGCTTCCATTACTCTTCCCCATAGCTTCATTGTGTGGCTCATCAACTTGATACCTCTGTAGTTGTTACACCTCTGCACATCACCCTTGTTCTTAAAGATCGGCACTAGTACACTTCTCCTCCATTCCTCAAGCATCTTCTCACTCTCTAAAATCCTGTTGAACAAACTAGATAGAAACTCCTTCTTCTTCTTTCAGCTGTTCCTGTTAGGGGTCGCCACAGCCAATCCTCTGCTACCACCACTTTGCATTCACTAATGTCTCTCAGGTTGCCTCGTCTAAATAGAATGTAGTCTACCTGCGTACTCCTCTTATATGTAACTGTATGTTCCTCCCTCTTCTGGAAATAGGTGTTAACTACAGCCATTTCCATCCTCTTAGCAAAGTCCACCACCATCTGTCCTTC